AATTTCTTAGTTGTGATCATTATACCATGGTCGTGTATGATGTTAACATTAGGGAAAGGACGGTTACACAGAGATGTACTTTTTTTTTTAAGTAGTCTTCATGCCCAATGTGGTGCTTGAACTCACATCCCTGAGATTGAGTTGCATACTCTGTTGACTTACTAAGCCAGCCAGTCACCCCCAGAGATGTACTATTTTTGTGACCTTGCTGAAGTCTAAGATTATTTCGAAATTAAAAAAAAAAAAATAGTCCAGGGATCCAAGTAAGATATGACTTTAATTTTCCTGGACACCTGCCTTACTTTACAGGTAAGGGCTTTTGTTTTATTTTGTTCTCTTTAAAACAATGAGGCTGTGTTTATGGCCTCTAGTTCAAAATTATTATGAGGAAAATAATAAGAATGTGAGCCTGCATGCTAAACGGTAACTTCAGTTAACAGCGGGAATTAGAAACCCATAAATACAGGGGCTATAAAATTAATTAGAATAATAATGAGAAATCAAGATAAATGCATTAAAATATTTTTTTTTTTTGCATTGCAGTTTTGAAGGTTTTCCTAGCTCTGGGGCTGGTTTTAAAGGCTCTTATGTTTGTGTTGGTAACATGTGTCATCTTCTGATATTTACATGACTCAGTGTGAGGCTGAGTAAACTGGTCCATCTTGTCCTAGATGCAGCCTGATTACATTGGAACTGTGTGTTGTGAACTGTAAGGGGAAAATGGCGGCTACTCTGTTGTGACTGATAAAGAAGAAAATGAGTTAAGTAGCTTACAGGTGGAGCTGATGACATAAGTGCATACTTATTTGTGTATATTTATAAAACCTCACATTGTCCTATTGAGTTTTGATCAGATGAAAATCACAAAAATGCATAATTCATGCCATGGGAAGATTATTTGTTGTGATTGTAAGTGATCATTGTGGCAAAGCCCAGTAGAACTTAACGTGTAATCTAATGAAACGCGTAAAACTCATGTCCATCTCAGTTCTGCACTGTGAGTGGTTTTAGGATCAAATTTTGTACTTTGTACTAATTTTGAACACCTGTGAAGCTGGGTCGGCTGCAGGCCCTCTGGGCTGTGGGAGGCAAAAACCATGGCTGTAGTCTTGAATCTGCTGTTAACTAGCTAGGTGACCTTCATTGTATGCATAACATTTTAACATTTAACTTCCTTAGACCCTCATTTCCTTTTCTGCAAATAGGAGGGATATTGAACTCAATCCAATTTTATGGACCAGTAAATTTTCTTTAGAAAATAATTTGACAGACTTACGTAGAGTTGCCCAACTTTTCGTTTTGCCAAGTTAGAAAACAATCATAAATATAGGGCTATTAAAACTAATGGGAATGTATGTATATTATATTTCAATTTAAAAAAATTAAACTAACCAGGGTAATAATGAGGAACAGAAATAAATAGACTAGGGGAGCCTGGCTGGCTGAGTCGGTAGAGCACGTGACTCTTCAATCCTGGGGTCATCAGTTTGAGCCCCATGTTGGGTGTGGAGCCTACTTTAAAAAAAAGAAATAGACTGAATTCATTTTTTTAAAACCCAAGTTGCCATTTATAATCACCATCTTTTCATAAAGAAAAATACTTTAGTTATTTAATTATTTATTTTGGAGAGAGAACTAGCTTGAGCAGGGGGGGAGAGAGAGGGAGAGGGAGAGGGAGAGGGAGAGAGAGATAATCTTAAGCAGGCTCCATGCTCCTGTGTGGAACCCAACATGGGGCTTGATCCCACGACCCTGGGATCATGACCTGAGCTGAGATCAGAGATCAAGAGTCAGACCGTCAATCTGCTGAGCCACCTAAGCGTCCCATTAAAGAAAATATTTTAACACCACAAAAGGGGGGAGATTTTAATCTCAGAACAAAGAACAACACTTTACATTGAATTCGTCTTGCTTTTAAAAGAAATGTGATAGTAGATTATCCAAATATGTCTCAGTTTTCTGTGAACCAGTAAAAATTTTACCATGGACTCATGATCGAGAACCAACGATTAGTCTGAAAGGTCACTAGTAGCTCTTACATTCTGTGATTCTACAAGGCTCTCAATATAACATTTTACTGCTAGTTCTACCACCCTTCAAATCCATTAGAACTCTATCATGAAAGTAAATAAGTTGCAACAACTTCAGAGCACATAAAAAATCCATAAGTCTTTTACCTATCCATACACTAGCCAGTCCCAACATAGGTTATGTCTGTTTTCCCAGAAACACTTCGACTGAAATTATAGGGTGTTTCTTCTTCCCCTTCCTCAGAAATGCCATAAGAAATAAGCAAAGTATATGTTTCCTTAGGAACTGCCTTCCAAAATGGGTGGCAACTCCCACTCTGCACTGCCATGATGGAAGAATTCACATGTCTGGCCCTCTTTCAGCCAAGAGCAAATCTCCAGGAGCCCAGATTTCATTGGACTCTTAACACGGACCAAAAGTGCATGAGCATGTGGCTTCATTCTGAGACCAGTCCAAAGTCATTTGGTCATTTGGAAGTACCTCCCCTATGTTGCTGGGCTTGCCAGGAATCAACAGCCTAGTGGAGAGTCAGCCAGAATAGTATCCATTAACCTGGAAAATATCAGGATAGATAGAACTCGGACACTTATTATAGAGGGAAAGCACTGTCTGGGGACCCCTGGATAGAGGAGATGAGAGTTAAATAAAACCCAAAAGGGCAAGTGGAAATTTGCCAGGCAACCAGAAGAAAGGTGTTCTGGATAGAGATGAATAAGAATAAGGAGAGCAGGAAACAGCAGGAATACCCCCAGGCCAGCACTGGGCTTCTGGAGCATTCCGGGCATGTATTTGGTAGCAGAAAACCGATGGGCCTGGAGAGGTTGGCTGGAGCCATGTCAGATCTGCACCAGGCTCTGGTACAGTTACAATCCTTGGGGTGGCTCTGGATGACCCTCGGCTGGCCTGGAGTTCAAGGCCGCTCCACGCAGGGCAGATTCACAGGTGTACCTGAGTCCAGTCTCAAACTTCCGGATGTTCAGCCAGAAGTGGACTTGAACCACAAGGCCACTTCCTTGAGACGTGCTACAAGAAACCCGTTAGACCAGCCATGCTCTGTTACGAGTTCTGGGTAATTGATATACAGTATCTAGAGATGGTGGTTGTGCTAAATTGAGAAAAGGGAAGATACTGTTTGTCTATCTGTGAGATGAGGTGAAGGTTTATGATAATAATAGCTAGTATTTCAGAGAAGACTTTATAAATGATAACCCATGCCAGAATACTAAAAGGTAGGTTCTGTTAATTTTTATTTAACAGATATGGACCCTGTGGCACAAGGAGTTTAAGTAACTTAACTGGGGATCATGCAGTTAACAAGTGGTGGAAAGCTGGGATTCAAACCTAGGTAGACTGGTATTGAAATTCCTGCTTATAACTAGACCTGTACTCTACAGACCCTACAGTGTGGTTAGATGCCAAGAAGGTTTCGGGGGGTGGGGGGAGAGGAAAGAAAGAAAAGTAATTTCTTGACTATATAGATAGCCAAGATAACCATGTAGTCAAGAAATGGGAAGTAAGCCAAAAAGAAAAAAAAAGAAGTTCTGACAGTTGAGTGTTCTCATTTCCTGTCTACCTTTCATATAGGTAGTCTCACAGCTTCTCTCTTTTCCTCCCTGTTTCTCCTTCTTTTAATTTATTTTGATTTTTCTGCATAGAAAACAGAAAACAAACTATATTGAAAAATGGGGGACAGAGGGAAGACAAAGATGCCTGCATAAGAGGCTTTCTGAGACTAAAGAGCCTGAGTAGAAGTGTCTGGCCATGTTAGACTGACCAGGAAGGGAATGTAGGAAAGGAACAGTCCATTTTAAAGCTCAGAATTATTGGGGCGCCTGGGTGGTTCAGTCGGTTAAGCGGCCGACTTCGGCTCAGGTCGTGATCTCGCGGTCCTTGAGTTCGAGCCCCGTGTCGGGCTCTGTGCTGACATCTCAGAGCCAGGAGCCTGTTTCAGATTCTGTGTCTCCCTCTCTTTGACCCTCCCCTGTTCATGCTCTGTCTCTCCCTGTCTCAAAAATAAATAAAACGTTAAAAAAAAATTAAAAAAAAAGAAGCTCAGAATTATTTCCTGTGCCCCTCAGTAATCTCGGAGGTCATTGCTCTGTTGCAGCATAGTACCTTGTTTGGTGACACATCTCTTGTCCTGCTGGTTCTTGGTTTTCTCATCTGCAAAATCTTGTCATGACCAATTTATGGTGGTGGATTAGGAGGAAGCTCAGGAAGCAACATTTTAACCATGAGGTTTTTTATCAGATCATTCTTTGAATTCTGTGCAGGTTTGTCCCAAATGCTTCATCTGACAAATTGTAATTTCTGAGCTTCATTTATCCAGCCTCCTCTGGACTTTCTGCCAAGTCCCCCAGGTTTGCTTCTAAGCTTGAGTCTTTCTGTGATACAAGGGTGTTTGATAGTCCCAAGCCCCTCCTTTTGTGACTATTAATTTATACTTGTGTTTGTCTTTCAACTCCTTCTTTTTGTTTGCCCTTTATAAAAACTATTTTTGAGGGAAATGCTGATGTAGGTCTAAACTTTGCGGGTGATTTTCCACCTTGGTTATAGATATTCGGTAAGTAATTTTTCAGGTGAAGGGAAAACCCATTGTCATGAGAAAGTAGCACCTCTTCTTTTACAGCAGTTGTAATACTGTGGCTGAGGTACTCAGTAAAAGGGGACCTTCCCCTGTGTGTGTTTGGGGGAGGGGTGGAGTCTTATCCTCCATTTTGTTTGTTACTGATCTGGCGTTGTCACACAGAAGGGAAAGGGATACCTTGGCATACACTTTTAGGGAGCCAAAGCAAGCACATATCATGAAATCCCCTTGTCTTAAACATACAGCCTCCATTTAGACCTCTACCTCAGGCAGGGCCCTCAGACCTTGGAGAATCTCGAGCTCCCTTTCTTCCTGTTGGCAACTTGGAGCATATAAAATGTCTTCAGCCCTTTCAGTCAGTAAAACACAGAAGACAACAGCCTGCATTACGTGCCTCCTTCATTCTCCCCCTTTCTCTGCTCTGCTATGAAAAGCTAGCCTTTTCCCAAAGCTCAGTGGAAAGCCTCAGCAGGTGTAGGGGTAGCAGAAGCCTTCAAAGGGTCCCATTCAAATAATTTAGCACCCCCACCCCCCCCACCCCACATTTTCCCCACTGGAAATTTCTGCCATTTTGCCATCCCTGGAGGCTTCCAGGCAAACAATATCCCTCGTGTGTTGTTAGGCTGCAAGACTCCAGCATCTTTGCTTTTCTTCTGGGGGAGAAAAAAAGAAGAAGAAGAAAATATTTTGAATGAAAGAGTAGAATCCACACCTAACTTCTGAAGCTACTGCTCTGGATGTAGTTCTGGGCACTTTGGAGTCGGCAGTGGGGGTTGGGGCACGGCGTCCTTCTGCACAGGTGCCTCTCTTACGCCACAGCTGCACCAACAGAAAGGCTTCTGCAGAGATGGTTCACCTATAGACCAAGAGCAAAGTCTGCAGCTAAGCTGTCGGGCCGGGTTTGCACGTCAGCAGTTAATTTAGCTTTGCTTCTTCCGAGCAGTTATTCTTCCCTACTTAAAAAAAAGGGGGCGCCTGCCTGGGTGGCTGAGTCGGTAGAGCCTCCGACTTTGGCTCAGGTCATAGTCTCACGGTTCATGCGTTCGAGCCCCCTGTTGAGCTCTGTGCTGAAAGCCCAGAGCCTGGGGTCTGATTCGGTGTCTTGCTCGCTCTCTGCCCCTCCCCTGCTTATGCTCTGTCTCTCTCTCTCTCTCAAAAATAAATAAACATTACAAAAAGAATTTTTTAAAAATTGCACCCTGTAAAGCATTTGGCACTACTTAGGATAGGCTCACACTCTGTTCCTGGGACATCTCCAGGTCCTCCTGAGTGTATGTTTATGTTTGTTGTTATCAGGACTGTCCCTGTTGTTTCCCAAAAGTGGAAATTCTAGAAGACATTTACCAGGAAGGACCAGTGTATGATCGATGTCCACAGAGAGAACATTCCAGTGCCAGATCTCTGGGCTGCCACGTCAGGCATTTAGCTTTGGGGCCTGAGTCTAGTGTCCTGTCCTGTGGCGACAAGAGGAAATTGGTCCCCAGAGCCCTGCTCGGGTACTAAGCCCCCTAAATATGCGCAGGTGAGAAAATTCAGGCCTTCTGTTTCTCAAGGGATTAATTCATTCCCAGGGTTGTAAATATTACACAGCCTCTTTTTGTCTTCAGAACCGTGAGACTTGGAGGCAGTGTGGGCACAGCCTGCCCAGCAAGATATTATCATGTACACAACATTGTGCAGAACCAAGCATGTGTCTGTATAGGCATTTGCAGCACGGAGCTTTTTTTTTTCCCCCCTTTTAATTTTGCTGTTCTTTATTTGCAGTAGTAGATAAGGAATTAAGAAAGCAAAAAAAAAAAAAAAAAAAAAAAAAGAATGCTTTGACTAGGTCTTTTGCCTCTAAAGTAACATTAGTAAAATTCTGTCTTATTCTTTCTCTCGAGAAAAGATACCTTTTATTTTTATAGAAACTCACCCAACCCATTCTGTCCCCCAGCCCATCTGTGTTCACTTGCTGTTCTTGCAGCTCTCGGTTTTTGAAAGCGCCTTCTAAAATTACATGAAAGCAACCCCGTTTTGACAAAATTAGAATGCTGGTAGGAAAGGCTTACCATGAGGCTGTGGAGAAAGGCCCCGCAAAACCTTTGTGTTTTATTTCACCCTCTCGGGGTTCAACTGACAATTCAGCCAATTTTATAATCACTTCCCTAGGGCGGGGCTAAGCCGCTGCCCCGGAGAAATAACGAATTCTAAAGTAGCCTCCTGGTTCAGAGATGGTGCAAATGGAGACTGTTTTTATCTACATGTTTTAATCATTCTGGACTTCTTACAGAAAATTCCTTTAGATTTGATATGACTCTAAAATGTTGGACGTGATATTAGTTTCAAACCTGAATCAGAATGTGTCTTCTTTCTTTTCCTGCTACTTCCCCACACCCAAGTATCATTACTCATCGGGTGCTGCCGATGTGTTAAAATAAAACCTTTTTGTTTTTTTAGAGAACTTTTAGGTTCACAGAAAAAATGAGTAGAAGGTACGGAGAGTTCCCATATATCTCCATGCCCCCACAAATGCACAGCACCCCCCCTTTTTCAACATCCCCCACTAGAGTGGAGCATTTGTGACAACTGATGACCCTACCCTGACACATCATCATCACCCAAAGTTCATAGTTTGAACTTTGAAGAGTGGCGTTCACTCTTGGACAAATGTATAATGACATCTCTCCATCATTATGATAGCACACACAGTATTCACTGCCCTAAAAATCCATAATATTGCTTTCAACCACCCATCAGTATGCTTCCTCTTTCCTTTCCAGTCTCCCCCCTCTACCCCCCAACATTGTTACTCATCAGGTCCTGCTGATTTTTAACTCCTCTAACTATTTCTGGAATCTGTCTCCTCAATATGTATTGTTGATGATATGGTTCTATTTCCATTGTCACTATCCTGACTATACTGACTTTTCTTGTCTAGAGCAGTGCCTGGCTTATATTATGAGTTTCACCAAATTGGGATCGATGACTGAACAAATGAATCTGGAAAATAGCTCTCTAGCTGGGGGTGGGGGGGGTGGGGAGTGAATCTCTTTAGATCTATCCTCCATCTGGTTACTAAAGTTATCTATCTAAAATGCAAATCTTATTTTGATACTCCACAGCTTAAAAACCTTTTAGGTGGCTCCAGGACCACATGCCAGCTGCTTTTCAGACCCATCTCCCAGCATGCCTCACTCATACCCCCCCCACCCACAGGGACCACCCAACTCCCCCTTCTCTGCTGCATAAACCCCTACTCTTTCCTCAACGCTACACTTTTCTCCTTAGAAATCTTTTCCCCATTTCCTGGAAACAATAGCTTCTTTTTATTCCAGGGTTTTTGCAATGACAGACACTGTGTAGAGCTGACCACATGCCCAGAGCTCACCTTTCTTATCTTCCCCTTCACCGGTCTGCCTGAGATGACCTATCAGGATTCAGTTACAGGTCTGAAGTAGGGGGCTGGAAGGGAACTTCAGGCTTGGTCTCTTTGGCTCGAAGCTGGAAAACTCTGCCAAACACAAAAGTGAAACCCAGTAATAGCCAGTCTGTACATTCTAGGAACAGATATTCCTTCCTTTCCCTATACTCAGTCTCTCTCCATTCTTCTCCCTTCTTGACATTTGTTTTCCACAGAGCATATTAACACAATATTGCAGGGTGACCAGGATTCAGAAAACCTAGGTGAAGGTCTCCCTTCTGCTGTCCACCAGCTGTGCGCTCTTTAAGTCAGCCAGGAAAACTCTCTGGGCCTCATACCTAATCTGCTAACTCTCATCAGATGAGGGTCACATCACTTGAACTCTGAGGTCCTGTCAGTTTCTAACACTGAGTCAAAGACCCCGTGGAATCTCTAACCTAGATATTCATAACCAGGGTCCATACGTGTATGTCTGGGAAGATGATGAGAGATCTTCAGGGGATTCACGGGCCCCTGAAATTCTGTGTAAAACCCTGTATGAGTTGATCACATCACCTTGGTCCACAGAGGGTCTGGTCTTCTCTCCTCTCTTAAGGTAATGATAGTTTATGGTTATCCTACTATGTATCATTGTATATAAAGACAGCCATTGTTTTAGAGATTTAGCAGTAGTATGTTTTTCTTTTTGTAATCTTCAGGGTGGCTTTAAATTTTTTTATTTTGCTAATTCATCACCAATACAGTTTTGGAAGGAAGCTCGAAGATTAGCTAGAGGAAGGAGACGGCACACCCAGAAGGAAAGAAACTTCCCCAAGTTTCTGTCTGGAGGAGAAACAGCAGCCAGGGGTGAGGGTTGGATGGGCAGCTTTCCAGTTCCTGCCTGACCAGATGATTGAACTTGCCTTTCAATATCCACCAGCCCTAGGTGCCGTCAAGACTCCAGGCCTGGCCATCAGTCCATGAAGGGTAGGAGCAGGCAGGAACCCTGTGGCCTCACCGTAAGTGGGAAGCCAGAGCATGGTGTCCTGGTTGTCACCTTCAGCTCCACAGTTCTGGAGACAAGCACCTCCAGCTCCCCAAGTTTCTTCTTTTTCCGTTCTCCATCACCAACTGACACCAAGTACTTGCTATATGCCGGGTGCTATGCCAGCCCCAGGGAAGCAATGTTGAACAAAACAGATACGCCCTGCTTATGTGGAGAACCTACAGCCATGAATATAGTACAGGTCCTGTGCTCAAAGAAATAGGACTGGTGTTATTCGGGAAAGGGTTTGAATGACACTAAAAACCCGAAACATGATATTGGAACTTATGGGGTGTTAGTTAGAGATGTTTCTTCAATGACAGGTCCGTCCTAGACAGTATTCAAGGATGTTCACTACAGAAACTGTAAGGACCTCTCCTGATAGCAATAACACTCTCCAACCGGGTGCATTATGGAATCCTTCCCTATAAAGGGGCCCCAAGAACAGTTTTATGAGGCTCCAGAATAACTCCCAAAGCAATACTTGTGTTCCCTGCTAGAAAACACATCACTGCTACGAGATTGGCAAGCATGAGCCAGCATGGTGGAAATTTGGCAGGAAGAAAGCTTAGAAATTAGCACTTGGCCAGGCATGATGTCATTCCTATGAACATTTGAGACTAACAACAAGTAAACTTGCCAGAAGAGATGTTATTTGCTAGAGCTCTGACTACCACCTTTGGAGAACCGCTGTTTAACACCCACCCCTCCCCACCCCGGGTCTGGACAGGAGCTGGCTCTAATTCATACCTTCAAGGTCACCCCGTTCTGAAGGGGCTGAGAGGTAACTTTGAGCTTCGCACCATGGGCCCAAGGCTGATTCACACGAGTACTCAGAGCAGACTTGTACTAACATTTATGGAGCACCTCCTAATTGCTACATGCTTCCTGAGGCACTGACCATGGAAAGATGATTGAACAGTCTCTGCCCTTGAGAAGCTCACAGGCAGTGAAGAATCTAAGGTAGTTAGGACAGTGAAAGAGGCAATGGTAGGAGGAGGCTTTCTCAAGATCACCTTGAGCTTCAAGAAGTTTCTTAGTGTCTCTGAGGATCTAGCAACAAGGAGTGCGAGATGCACTTGTGAAAACACTGCCAGTATTTAAGGTGCAAGAAAAGCTTACACAAAAGGCGCTGAGGGAGATGGTCAGAGGTAGAAGGCAAAGGAAGAGAGGAGGTGACCGGAAGTCTTGGAGTGACCAAGAACATCAGTACTCCAGAGAGTACTCTCTCTGGGGAGACCTGGGAGTGTGCGGGCTGTCATGGCTGTTCCTGCTGACCTCGTTTCACAGAGTGGTGAGGGTAGAAAGCCAGGCTGTGACAGCTGGAGAAGCCACTGAAAGTGAGGAAGGAAAGTCAGGGAGTATAGGCCGATGAGTAGTTCCCAATGAAGACAACGTTCTTGAATACAAATCTCAGGCCCCACCTCAGAGATTTGCTTTAGTGTGGGGCCTGGGAATCTGTATAAGCTACCTACTGAGCTCATGGGAGCTGCTGGTGTTGGATACACTTTCAGAAATCTGTGAAAGGAAGAAGACGGGTTGTTTCCATGAGGTGGAGATACAGGGTCAAGGAAGAGGGTTTTTAGGGGCAAAGGAGACGATTGAGGGCAAGTAAAGTGTTTGTCAAAGGATGCCAGGTGAGGATTGTGATCAGGAATCGGTGGTGGCCTCAGTTGGTACTACTGGGAGTTTTCTCCAGATTCACGTCAGCAGCAGAGAAGGTGGATTGTGGGATGATCCAAAGGTGGGGTTTGGTCTGGTACAAGGGACAAGAGGACAGGGTGTATGGCAGGTCAGTAAGAGTGTTACTAACCAAAGTGGCTCAAGTCATAGACACGGGACCCAGGCAGGTAGCAAAGGACACAGGGACCTGATGGACGCTATGTCAGGGGAACCTGAAGACCAGGGATAGATAGCGGCACTCTGGAGAACAGGTCTATCAAGAATGCCCATGGGGGAAGGCTGCAGACAGTGGGCAAACTTTCCACTGGCAGCAAATCCCTCGGCGCCATCTTGATGTGAGTCTAGGATGAAAAATTTCCCTGCATGAAAATGCCTCGTGTGGGCCCAACCGTGAAGTGTAAAATTGCCTTCTCACCTGAAAACAACATGTAACTGGGTTTAGCATTTTATGCTTCAGATGACATGTAATATCCAGAAGCAATACACCCTCCCCTCCTCCATTGCAAGTTCAAGTAAAATCAGAAAACGCTCAGTGAAAAGGAGAAGAAAAAAAGAAAGGAAACAGCAGTGGAACGAAGCCACAAACCCAAAGCATTGGCAGAGAAATCGGGGGAAACTGCAGCAGAGACAAGCTTTGAGGTTGTGTGCTCTATGAAAATTTATAGAAATGTTACCTCAAAAAAAAAACCGAAACAAAACAAAACAAAACAAAAAAACCCAGGGTGCTTTACTTGCCAACCACTGGAATGGAGACAAAATTCCCACCCGGGGTGTTACTTTTAATTATCATTCTCTTTATGTTGTTTCTTAAAATAATAACAGGCATTGTAGAGATGATATACCAAGATGGCTTAATTAGGTGTCAGATGAGTACCTGTGCCCTCGAGCCCCATTACCGCCGGCTTCCTTATGCAGATTTGACTGACTGTTCCGAGGCTGGCTAGATAAAGAAACAGACATAATTGGAGCAGCTGGGCTGCAAGCACAGCTGGGCCGTCCCCATGGAGACCAGGCTCCCGCGTTCCTCTCCACCTTTTTTTTAACTGAGATGAATGTAAGCATATCTGAGCCTGGGTCTCCCTTAGACGCTCTCCACATCAGCGCCTTTCACCTTTAATGCACGCAGAGATCTCCTGGGAAGCTTGTTGCTAGGCAGATTCTGACTCAGTGGGTCTGAGGTGGGACCTCTGGGTCCTGTTTCTAACAAGCCCCACGTGATGGTCCTGGGTCCACACTTTCTATAGCTGTTTAAAAGGCTCTAGAGAGACCTGGGTGGCTCAGTCCGTTAAGTGTCTGACTCTTGGTTAGGGCTCAGGTCATGATCTCACTGTTCGTAGGACTGGGGCACGCATCCGGCTCTGTGCTGACAGTGCAAAGCCCGCTTAGGATTTTCTGTCTCTCTCTCTCTCTCTCTCTCTCTCTCTCCACTCACACTGTCTCTGTCTCTCTCTCAAAATAAATAAAACGAACTTTAAAAGAAAAAAGACTCTAAAGAGATCTGTATAGCCTCAAGTTACTTTTTCCTTTTTTGGCCCCCGTTTCTCCTCTCCTGCCCCAACAGCCCTCCTGTCCTCCTGCTGCCCCTGAGCTACCTTCACTCCCCGTCCTCCTTCCCCACTTTATCCTCCCACCTCCAGGCCTTTCTACGGGTCATTCTGCAAAGCGCTGCTCTCAGCCAATGGCCTCCCTAGAAGAGACAAGCTAGCAGTTTGATTTTAAAAGAGGAGGGAAATAACCAGAGATCACAGTGTGTCCCTAAAGGAAACAACCTGCTTCCTTATGGTCGTCACATGGGCCAATGGACCTACAGCCTCAGAAGGTCACAGTTGGAAAAGACCTTCTGTCCAGTAGTTGGATCCCAGACTGTGGTACCCACGGGCACTCAAGTGCGCCCGGGTCAGGGTGTTCACTGTCCATCCTGCGCCAGCACATCAGAAAGGCCTTCCTGAAATCGAGCTGGCATCCGTCTACCTAGATCTGACCCCACTTTGCCTACTTCTTGGGTCCCTATATATCAGGCTCAAGGCCTTAGAAGGTAGCCGTCATGTTGCCCCCAAGTCATTTCTTCTTCAGGCACAGCTGTTCTTTTTATGCCGTGAGTTGGCCATTCTGGCCCTTCTCCTCTGCCTCTGCTTCTGCCTCTGTATGTCCAGGGCCTCTCCACCTGTGATGCCCACACTGCAAACAGCAATCAAAAACTGTCACCACCTCATTACACTCTTTATGTGACTCCTGTCGAACTTATTGCCAACCACATCCTCAAAGTCATTTGCATACATGCTGTGGCTCAGCTGCATCTCCCTAGTCAGTAATAATTGTAGTAATCAGACTTAACATTTATGAGAGTTAGTATAATATGATAGCTAAGAACACATGCTCTGGAACCAGACTGCCTAGGTGTGAAGCACTTAATGAAGAGTCATGTCGTTGGTAGTTATCACCATCATGAGTATCATCATCATCCCTGTGCTAAGGGCTTTGGTCACAATAACTGGTGTGTGTGTGTGTGTGTGTGTGTGTGTGTGTGAGAGAGAGAGAGAGAGACAGAGAGACAGAGAGAGAGAGAGACAGAGAGAGAGAGGCAGAGAGAGAGGGTGCAAGTGAGCAAGGGGCAGAGAGAGAGAGAGAAGTGAGGCTCGTGTTTTACCCAAGGTGGGGCTCGAGCTCATGAGCTGTGAGATCATGACCTGAGCCGACATCAGATGCTTAATGACTGAGCCATCCAGGCATCCTGCCCACAGCAATTGTTTTAATCCTCATGCCAACTTCACGCGATAAAAGTTATGTTGTCCCAGTTTTACAAGTAAGGAAATGGAACCTCAGAAGATTATGTTTTGTGCCCAGGGTAGAGTTGGTTTTTGTTTTTGTTTCTTGGTGTGGTTTTTTTTTTTTTTTTTTTTTTTTTTTTTTTTTTGGTTTTTCGGACCCAAGTGCAGAACCCTATCTATTGCTGTTATTCACAAATTTCATCTTGTAATCCGTGCTTTACCCCTACTTTGGATTCCCAGTCCTGTTATCCCAAGTGGGTCTGCCTCTTAGCTTCGTGTTGTCTGTCCTAATGAGAATACCTTCTATATCTTCATCTAGATCATCTACACATCAGAGACCACGTGACAACTCCCTGCAGCTTCTGTTCCCTGAAGTGCAGGTCTCCGTCTCCCGAAGCTCCCCAAGCCACCAGCCTTGTAACCCTGTCAGAGAAGCCTAGGGGGTAGCCTGGGAGTGATTTGTATTTGAATATATCTGTATTTGGCTCTGAGTGAGCATGCCTCATCTTGCCTTCCAGGTCTCCATTCCAGAATTCTCCCCAGAACAGAGAGAGGGCAGCTCCTAAATGGATAGTTTATGAAACTGACCCTCCAGGCAGTGCCAGATGCACAGACCCAGTCGAATGCAGGGTCTGCAGAATACACATCCCAGAGAGGATAATGACCACATCCTGCAGATAATGAGACCTAGGAGGCTGGCCCTGCATTTCAAGGCTCCCTTCCTTCTGACTCCACTAGTACCAACGCAGTCCTTCTATGTCCTGACTAAACCACAGGAGGCTGAGCAGTCGTGGTGGTCAATATTTCTGCACAGGGGGAGCCTGGGGCACTGGTCTCATTAGAAGGGAGATTGGGGCGTGCCTTGAAACTTAAATTGGAGGTTTATTTGGAGTGATTTGCAAGAAAGGGAGCACTGATGGAGATCACAGGGGCTAGATCCCCCACATAATGCCATTTCCTAGCCCTGCCACTCTGCCAGTTGACCAGAAAGTCTGGACTGATTTCTTTCCTCTCTTCTCCACTGGTTCTATTCTCTGACCCGGGGCTGTTAGTGTAATTTGGCTGTCTTCAGTTGCCACCTTTTTCAGTGTCAGGATGCCAGCCACCTTCCCTGCTGCTCTCCTTGGCTTCCTGTGAACCATGACAGTGGGATCCTCATGGCTCTTGGAGGACAGCAGGAAGCCATGGGTCTACCATGAGCCTGTGCTGCCTAATCACACCGCTATCGCTGGGGCCTGCCCACGCTACTGTGAAGCAGCAAAACAACATGCAGGAAACTTCTTCTGCTCCAACACGTTCCCCTTTTGAAATCAGCCAGCAAACCCCGAACACTCTCTCTCTGTGTGGTCAGGCAGATGGGCTGTCCTCTCAGGCTAGAGGAGTTAGGGACCATTGGCAGACTGAGCCCGGTGGATCCAGGAGGATTTGGGGAAGGTAGTAGCCTTAAGTTCTCATAGATCAACATCCAGCCCTAGCAATGCACCTGCTCTTGGGCAGTGGACGCCCCCGGATGCCATGAAAAGTGATGGGCACAGGTGAGGAAGCTTCGGCCAGAAATAGAAAATGCCTCTGACCTTGGTGAAGTGAGTCCTTGGTGTGACACTGAACACACAAGTGCTGTTTAAAAGGACCAACTTTGGGGTGCCTGGCTGGCTCAGTCAGTAGAACATGCAACTCTTGCTCTCAGGGTCCTGAGTTCAAGCCCCACATTGAGTGTAGAGATTACTTAAATGAATAAATAGCTCTTAAAAATAAATAAATAAATAAATAAATAAATAAATAAACAAACAAACAAACAAACAAACAGACAGACTGATTTTGACACGTTATTAATCAGGAAAACAAAGTAGTTAAAGGCATGAACTCAAACCCTGACTGTTTAGGTTTAAATCCAGCTCTGTGACATTAGACAATTTATTCAGCTTCTGCAGACTTCACGTGTAAAGGTACTAATTGGACCTCCCTCGGTGGTGGTGAAGATTAAATGTAGTAATACATGTAAGGTGTGTAGAGCATCAAGTCCTGGCATTTCATAAGAGCTCCATAAGGATTAACCACTATTATTATCATTATCATCACCATCGCCACCATTTCTGCGTGTTCAATATGTACCAGCCACTGAGCTAAGCACGTACACGTCGTCGCTCATTTAACCTCCCTTTGAAATAGGTGTGTAATGCTTCAGTTATGCCTCAGTTGAGGAAACAGACATTTGGAGAGGTTAGTTGACCTGCACACAGTTAAGCAGGTAAGTTATTGGTGAATTCAGGGTTTGGAGCCAAATTTCCCTTGGCTGTGCTGTCTGTTATCACCGCTGGCCACTGTCCGTAAAAACAGCTATGTTACTGAGTACTTCCTGCAGACTGGGTAGGATGCAGGGCACTTTTATCTCGTTTATCAGAATCCCATGTTTGTCAGAATCTTCTTATACCCATTTTACAGATGAGGAAAGCAAGGTTCAGAGAAGCTAAGCAACCTCCACAAATTTTTACAGCAAAGAAGTTAAATCCAGGCTGGCTGACTCTTAAAATCCATTCTAACATCTATTGAGTTTGACTGCCAAACAAGTGAGCAAGATGCCCCTGGGAGGTTGATAACAGTAACTGGTGATCGTGAAGCCTGATACCCAATATAACCCAGGGCGACACTATTTGCCTAATTATAGCCCCATTTTCTGAGCTGCCGTTAGGGGCAATTTCCACTTTCTCTGGTGCTTCACTTTCCTGCACTTTCTGAAAGCTGTTGATGTGCTCAGATTAAGACAAGCTCCTGTGTATTTCACATGTTAGTTTATTGCACATCCTGCAGGAATATGGAGGAATCATAAATAGTCCAGAAGGAGGTCCCAATGGATTATGCAAAGCCTTTGTCACATTGCTATAGGAGGAGTTTGACAGTAGACTCCCAGACTACATTTCTTGACCCAACACCTGACGTTATGTGACTACGATATTCCAAATGTGCATTTCAGTATCAGGTCATGAGAGGGCAACTTGCTTGGTGATGAGTAGGGTCTAGGCAGAATATATTCACCAGCCTGTATATCGGGGATTCTTAACCAGTCCTGAATGACTGGTCTTCAGAGGTTCTGAGAACATTCTTTATGTATGTATGCATTTTCCTAGAGAGAGAGAGAGCCCATAACTTTTACGATATTCTCAAAGGAGTACGTGACTCAAAAACCAGTTTGAGGGGGGCCTGGGTGGCTCAGTTGGTTGAGCGTCCGACTGTGGCTCAGGTCATGATCTTGCAGTCGGTGAGTTAGAGCCCTGCGTCAGGCTTGGTGCTGAGCCTGGAGCCTGCTTCAGATTCTGGGTCTCCCTCTCTCTCTGCCCCTCCCCTGCTCGTACTCTGTCTCTCCCTCTATCTCTCAAAAATAAATAAACATTTAAAAAAAATTAAAAAAAAAAAACATTTTGAAGACTGTACCACTCTAGATTAAAAATCTAAATCTAAATCTAAATCTAAATCTAAATCTAAAAATCTAAATCTAAAAATCCTGAGAGAGGAAGCTTCAAAAAACAAAACTAAACCAAAAAAACCCTGAATCCTTTTTTTTTTTTTTAATTTTTTTTTCAA